ATGTCAGTTCCAACATGAACAGTGGTTTTGCTAAAGCACTTCAGATATGGCTGAAATTATTGTCTCCCTGGTACAGCTGGGTGAGCTCTGGCACAGCTTGGGAAGGACCTGTGGCTGCTGTTTGTGGAGTTTTATTTGAGTTACAGGTTTTTGAAAGGGGAATCGCTTTGTGTCAGGATCTTTTAATAAACATGTAAGGGGGCTCTTTGTTCAGAGAAGCTTTTGTAGACTGTGAGAGGTGCTTCCACGCATTTCCAAGGGGAAAAGGGGTTCTTCTGCTTGAATCCCACTTACTGTTCTCATGTCAGAGCAGTGACCTTGGCAGAGAACTGCTGCTCAGTCTCTCCACTACAGCTGCCCCTCACCCACAGGGGCATTTTCTGTTCCATATGCCCTCCCCTCCTCCTATATGTTCAGTGTCTGCCTTTGATAGATGGGTTGATCACCACTGAAAAGTTGTGTATAAAGTCATGAACAGCGACTTTCTCTGCTTTCTTGGGTTCTAAGCTAAAGTGTAAAGAGCCCAGAAGGAAAGCTTGTTCCAGACAGTCATTTGCCTCTCCCTGACAGGCAAATATTAGGTGAAGATATAACTAGTGAATAGAGAGTTTTGTTTAAGTTATCTTTGAAGAAGGACTTTTTGAGAATGTGGAGGTAAGGTGAGTGTGAGTGGGGAGAGGGAATAGACAAATGAAATGTCCATTTTGAAATTAAAATTAATTATTACATTTTGGAAGTCAGACAGTCCTAGAATAGACTGGAATATTTTCTAGTCTACTCTTAGGGTTTTAATTAAGGATTAAGGGGAAAAAGAGCAAAGCAAAATAAGCATAATTTCAGTACATACCAGCAAAACCAAGTATTAAAACTACTACCATAGTGAGGTACAGAAACTGCCAAAGAAAGTGGGTTTCTGTGTGAAAGTAGGTTAACTCTGTCTGTAGTTTTGCTTTTAGAACTTGAACTGACAAATTCTTTGTTTCTCCTTCTTTATCCTTACGTGCTGTAAGGATGATGTGGTCCACACCACAGTGGGCTATGCTCCATCAGTCAGTACAGTCTGCCAAAATAGCCTGTAGTACCTTCAGGCCAAGGGCATGCTGGGGGCTGGAGAGTGAAGATTGACACATTACACTAAAAGAAAACTTTTTTCTTCTGTGCCTTTCCATGTATATGTGAACATAAAGCCCAAAGGGAAGCACTGGTGTCAAAACTTGTCACACCAGTTCTGACCTGTACAGTCCTGCACCATCTGTTTCCTTTACCTGGGAGCTGTGGTCCTGCCATACTTGACTATCACTAACATCAGTCACTCTTTTATTCTCAAATGTGGACACTAATCATCCTTTAGAAAAGCAAATGATAGCTTGGCATAATCTGCCAGAGACAAGAAACCTGAAGTTTCTTTCAGCAGCAGTTGTTTTAGCAGTCTTATAACACAAGGAACCTTTTCCATGAGTTTCAGTTTTTTGTTGGGTGGGTTTTTTTCCCCTGTTGGTTCTGGAACAGATCCTAAGCCCCAAATTGCTTCCAGGTGTTGCAGGATATTCACTGCAGAGTACAGTATTATGAGTCCAGAGGATGCTGAGTATGTCCTTACAGGTACATAGCATGGTATTCTCTGTCCTGGGCTCTGTTGTTTATGGGTCCTAGTATACCCAGTAATAAATAGACAATCCTGCTTTTGCTCTGTATTATTCTTTAGCACTTCTCAAAGGGCATATTCCTTTGCTGCAGCATTAACTGGTATAACACTGAAATGGATTTCAGAGACATGTACACCATTATCAGTGTAGCTAATTCTGTCTTTATCTGAGCTATCTGCTCAACTTGTATGCTCTGCTGCACGTCAGAAGCCAGCACCCCCTCTCCTCTGTTTATGCAGTTGTTCTTGCAATGACAAAACATTCTGAGAAATACCTTAGTTTGCAGAATCCCAGGAAAAAATGGACCGTTCAGGATCTGTTGTAACTGATGAAGATGTTCAGATTTGCTCCTTGTCCAGCAGCTGTTGTGTCTCAAGCAGTGGATTGTAAAAGGTCTGTAGCCTGATTAAATAAATAAAAATAAATTATTAAAAAAAGATACATGGTTACACATCTGCAAGTAAGAATTACTGAGTTCTGTATTGACTATGGATTATAATACTTGGGTGAAGGAAGTCAATTTGAAGTGTGGCACAAAATTTCACCGAGAGCATATGAAAGGAAGATTTTCCATGCCAGCAATGAAAACCATGATGGGATTTTTCCCCAGCTGGAAACCCTCATAAAACTGGAAGTCTGAACTGGTGGGATACAATTCAGTAAGTGAGGAAAAAGAAGTTTTTTGGTGTGGGACTCATTAGCTAGGAGAAGTCAGTGACTGGAGAACTGCAACTTTGGTGTTAGGTGGTTTTAGAGCTAGGAGAGAGTTATTCCATGAGCTCAAAACCAATTGTGGCAAGATTTCTCCTTTGTGGAGAGGGACAGTTGGAAAAACTGACTCCAGCGAGACCTGGCTGTTTGCCTGAAAGTGGATGGAACAGGAATGAAACAGTATATAGTCTATTCTGAGTGTGGTTTATACAGAGGGATTCATAACAGAAGCTGACAAAGCTGCAGACAGAGAAGTGGCCAAAAAGAGCGTGGCTGCTGAAGAGAAGTCGCTGACTGCTCACTTGGAACCACGAAACCTCCAACATACTACATAACATTTGGATATTTGGATTTTGATCCAACTGATAATGTAGCAATGGAAAAGCAAAAAAAAAAAGGCAGAACACAGACAGTACTGGAATAATGAAGTTGAAAACATTATGATAATTTATAGCAGAATAGATCTGGTGATACTAATTTCTTAAAATAGCTAAAATGGCTTCTTCTGAATTATAAACATAACCTGAATATCCAGCCACTGACTTGAAAATAATCAGGCCCTAGGCTGTGTGTGGCTTCTGTTCTGTGTTCTGGGTAATCACACTGCTGGAAAACATCTAAGGTGGCCAAAATGGGTAATTTAGACAAGCCATTGCTGCTCGTGCAGAGCAGCCTTGACTCACACAGGGCAAGAAGCCTCCATAAAGTTTAATCTGGAAAGATCTGAAGAAAATGAAAAGCTTAGTGGAAACTTTCCATAAAGGTTACACAGATGACAGTTGATCTGCTCCAACAAGTGAGATTAATATCTGCTAAAGAGCAGTCAAGTGGTTACTTCAGAGAATTCAAGGATTTTTGTGTCATTTCCTTCCCTTTCCTTTCCCTTTTTCTCTTTTCCCTTTTTCCTTTTCCCTTCCTTTCCTTTCCTTTGACTAATAGCAAAAAGATAACATCAACCTTATGATGGATGGTACCAAGCACTGATGGAGTACAGGTGACTCAGAACGGTGCTATAATTTATGTGCTATAATTTATGTTTCTATTGACTAGATTGTTTCCAGTCTGAAAAAACAAGAAAACATTTTAGAGAACAGGGTTAATCACACGATTTTGAGGAGGTAACCTTAAGATGGGAAGAGAAAACAGGCCCTCCCTGTGAACCAGACACGGGGGGTACACAGATGTGTACACTTACTCTCTGTATTTCCTCACTGCCATCCCTGCAGAGCTGTGTTCTGGGAAGAATGTGCATTCATCCCATGCAGCAGGAGCAAAAGGGGAG